AATTTTCGAGAAAATCAACTTTGAAGTAGGCCTAAATCTCACGAAATTACTTTATGAACAGACTAGGTCTCTGAAAGCCTTATCATGAAGACTAAGCAAGGTAGGGAACTTGAAATTCAGAGCATTGTATCTTAAGATCGGTGTGCAAATGCAGTTCAAATTTCAATTTGACATCTCTGGTGGTTTTTTCGAATGGCAGGCTGTCAATTATATTTTATATTAACCCCAACCTGTGAAGCTTTAACTAAACTAGGCTAATTCAAACCCCGAGATAACTTTTGTCAATTTTGACCCGAGAGGTATAATGTTAATATCAGACGAGAGTTATCAATTACGCTTTAGGTCTACATTTTAGTAGAAAGATGTTTATTTTGATTTATTCTGAAATTAAGTCGCTAAGCAAAATAACCAGTAGATGTTTATTTGTGAAAAAATCTACATAACTAATTTGAAAAGTTTGAACTTTGTATTTACACTCATTATGCAAATTTGTCCTCCCAGGATTCTTTGATGCTTGAAATGGATAAGAAATATATTGGTTTAAATATTTTACTTATTAAATTTTAAAATCTTTTTTATTATCATAATAAATCATAAATGTCTCGAGGGCAACCCTGCTTTACCCCCTAGCAATCCATCATCATAATGTATAGAATCATGATTGATATTATAAGTATTTTTTAATGTTTTTAAAATATCAGATTCTATTTTCTCAAAGTATTTTAATGGTGAATAACCATCTCTGACAGAACGACAGATTGTCACGATAGCTGGTGTTGGTGTACTTCTTAAAATACCCTCCAGATTAGCAGTTCTTATGTTAATTTCTGGTAAATCGGGCGTATGGAAGAAAACCATGGTTCTATTCGGTCTATTGAATCCATCACATAATCTCATTCCATCTGCTGGGTTGAACTGGAAAGTTTTGGAGAAACACTCAAACATAAACCAACTTTAGAGACAGCAGAAAGTTGAGATTGTGTAGCAGAGAATAGATATTTAATTAATACAAATGATTGCTCTATCTAACGATTTATCCTTACATAAATATTGCTCTAGGTTATTACTCTTCACTTTATCCTTCAGAGCAGTAAATAATGCTTTGCAGACGTCCAATCAAGGGGAACAGTTACCCCCTCCCCTTCATTGCTGCTGCCGAGGACGCCCAATGGAAGCCTTGAAACACGATTTTCTGAAGTATGGGGGCCGCCTCTAGAATATTCTCGAGAATTTGACTCGCTGAAACGTGATTTCCTGACATTTTCCGGAGAATTCAAGGTTTATTTGTATAGGGACTGTATGGGGCCGCCACAAGAAAATTTTGAGAATTAAACGCAAATTCCTGACATTAACCTGCGAATTTAATGTTCAAGATTATTTGTATTGGGTCTGTTGTATGCCGCTTAGAAAACTTTGAGAATTAGACACCGAAAACGTGATTTCCTGACATTTCCCGACGAAATTTTGAGAATCAGATGCCCGCAAAAGCGATTTCCTGACATTTCCAGGGGAATTTAAGGCTCAGGATTATTTGTCTTATAACAAGATAGTATTGTTCTAATGCTTTATTTTCATTCACGATTTCCACGCTTAGAGTCCTCTTCATATCACATTTTAATTTTGGGATTTCTAACTCTGACCAATCCAGCTCAAGAACGTTTGCTGTTATACGTATACACTTAATCATTGCAATATCGAAATTGTTGACGGTTCTGAAGCAAAAACAGACCGTTGCTTGTTTATGATCATTGTTAATGGCTGTTAAATTTTTATCTCATGGCAGCCATTCCCATATAAATCTTGAAATAAGACCAGATTGTGCAGCTCCCTGGAGTAAGAAAGATACATCATAAAATATACAACAAGATCACACAGCCGTTATTTCTTTAAAATGAAACCTTTCATTCACCCCATTTTACCATGAAAAACGACAACGATTCTGCTACATTTTGTACCCGATACGGTCGGTTAGCAGATTGAACACGGTATATTTAAATAGCATGCTGCTCGTACATGTATCTGGTGGTTATATTTTATTCATTGTTGAAGTGTTGGCGTAGAGAAACTTTACTTTTGTTAACAGCATTACATTTATTTACAATAGTGTCGTTATTAACGGTATATCAATATCACCAAGTGTGAGTTGTTGAATCATGAAAACAATTGCTGTGGAGCAGAGGTATTATAGCACAATATCAAATAAGGACAAAAACCCGACAACTCTGTTCCTACTTGTTCGTCGGACAAGATGTACGGATGGATTGTTCGCACGTTTAAGGCAGATTAGCAGATACCCCGATCCATTTTTGGATCCCTGGTTTTTTGAGAATTTTCACCATGACAAAAGCCTAACTTTTGGTATCCGTACACAAAGCTGAATCATTAATGAGTCCATTAAGACATTACTGGACGGTTATTCTACAATATATACGATACCGAAATACGGTCGAGGGGAGAAAAGTCCAGATGATTGTCGGCCCGTGGAAATAAGTTGGATGTAACATTCTATTCTGTAATTAACAAAATACAGATCCAAAAACTCTTCCCCAAAATCTACGAATACGGCGTTGCGCAACCAAGAGTATAAGCACTAACATCACATGACGCATGTTAAGAATTTTTTGATCTTTTCAGAAATTTATTTTATTGAATTGTATAAGTACGCTGGTTGCAGATGTTTAATATACTTTAGCTATAATAATGTTTAATGTATCAAACAACGCAGAAATGTACGGAGCCCCTAAGGCGCAATTGTAAACATATTTATTTATTATTTCGTTTAAACGAAATAATTATTTAACGAAATAATTAATTCGTTTTAACGAAATAATAATTTATTTCGTTTAAACGAAATAACATTTCGTTTTAACGAAATGATTAATTCGTTTAAACGAAATAATTAATTCGTTTAATCGAAATAATTAATTCGTTTAATCGAAATAATTATTTCGTTTAAACGAAATATTATTTCGTTTAAACGAAATAAATGATGTTATTTCGTTTAAACGAATTAATTATTTCGTTTTAACGAAATACACTATGTTTAATTCGTTTAAACGAATTAATTTTTTCGTCTATTTCGTTTAAACGAAATAATTAACCCATCTTTTTATTTAGTTTAAACGAAATGATTATTTCGTTTAAACGAATTAGTTATTTCGTTTAAACGAATTAATTATTTCGTTTAAACGAAATAAACATAGGGTATTTCGTTAAAACGAAATAATTATTATTTCGTTTAAACAAAATAATTATTATTT